AAGAAACATTTATTATTGTATTTCTATAGTACAAGAAAAATTTTTTTTAGTTTTTGAAAATTTTGATGAAACATTGTGTAAACAACTATTTATTTATATTTGAAGTTACAAATTAACAATAAGTAAATAAATGTTAATCATTGCATAATATAAAAGTTGGTCTGCTTATATATGATAATTTCTTTAATTTTCAAAACAGGTATCTGAGAAATAAGTTTCATTACATAAATTATTAAATTATTAAATTTATTTTTTAAATTTATAATCAAACCAAGCTAATAAATACCCAGTTTTTGAGAACTTGCATTAAAAATAAGCAACGAGCTGTACGAGAAAATGTTATCGAGTTTCTTCTGTTAGGCATGTTCATAGCAGAGTGGGTAAGGGCCATGACTAGCATGTGGAATGTAGGGGGTTTAAATCTCTTTTAAAACTGGTGTTTTTTTTGTTTTTGTTTATTTTTCTTTTTTTTTCTTAGAATTGTAATAGAGAAAAAATTTTAAGTTAAACAAAAATTATTGTGAGGATAAAAAATTCTCATTCAATAAAATATTAATTGATAGGTGTAGTTGAGGGGAGTAATGAGAGAAGGTGTGCAGGAGACTAGCGCAGTTCAGTTGGAAGAGACAAGGTGAGGAGAAGTGTGAAGGGGGTGCGGTAAGGGAAAAAATAAAATAAATTAGGAGAAAGAGACTTTAGGTAAGCGACTTCCGTTTCATGTAAATCTGTCATTTTTAAGATTCCAGCCCCCCAAGCACGTGGCATAAGAAACTTCTTTCTGAAAATTAAAGGTTAGTTTGGTATAGCTTTGAAATGTTTGAGCAGCTTGCTGGTCATAAGTATATAGTAATTCAGTCTTAAAATTAATTTGTTCTAATAATTTAAAGGAGTTATGCATTGCTTGGAAGCAAAGGGTGTCAAAGCAAAAATGGCTAAAGAAACACTGTAAAAATACAATAGGATTTCTTATTATTGGCCAATTTTTCTCTAACTTTTATTGTTTACTAAGAATTTATTTAATTATATGGCTCGAAAGTATCTGCTTGTAACGCACACGATTCATTAGCCATTGAAATAGAAGATTATATTATTTGATAACTATATTTTACTGTTTGTCATTTTAATATAGTGTATATTGATGTATATTTTAGCTCAAGAGCATGACGTACTTTTTCTCATTGCGATTCCGTAACCTTTTTGATCTAACAGTCCTCCAATTTGAGTTAGGTTACATTCTCTTTCTTGAATATATTCAATGGATGAAGATTCCATAAGAAAAGCGTAGTTATCAGTAAGAACTTTTCTTTTTCCTTCGTCATTGTCAGCAGTCAACACATCTTTAGCATTCTCTGTCATATACTGATACATTTTTGAATAAGTAGAAGAGTTTGAGTCCTAGAAGACAAATAGTTTGTTAAAATGACGTGCATCATTTCTTAATAAGAAAAATTTTTCTTTTTCCTGTTATCTAAACTGGTTCAGAAATGTAACGAGTCAAAAAAGTTTAAGTCTTTATAATGCAAAAATTTTCGACTAAGAAATTACTGTTACTATTAAATAAGTAACTCATGTGCAATATTATCTACATAGAAAAGTTCTTTTAACTCTTTTTTTTTGTTTTTCTTGCAACTACAACCTTATGTTCACTCATAAATACTTTTTTAAAAATCTGTTCAACATAAAAATATTAAAAAAACCAAAAGAACCCTTGTTACGAAAAAAAGTATTTTCGCTAACTATGTTACTGTTATAATTGTGTTGCTCACCATTATTAATACTAAACATTGTTATAGAATTATATTTGTTGTCTTTGGCTACATTTTATGTATAGCACCTTAGTGCCAGAATAGTAACTTTTACTAAGTTTTAAATTGTCAACGGTAAATATAATAGGATCTCTAGAAAGTCACGAATGAACGTTTGAAATTCAACTCCAATAAAATTTTTTTTTTGTACTTACAGTTATGATTAGAGTTATTAGTAATCTTATTCTATGTTTGATTATTTTTCTGTGTAAAAAAAGTCTAGAAGACTTGCAAGAAATTGGTTTAGGTATATTTTTGTTACTTCTTGTCCATCTGCACATATCTTTTCTTTTGTTCCTAACGAGCCAATATTTTGTACTAATCTTTTGGAATACTTCTTTATTATTAATTTGACTGAATATTAAAAAATACGGATTCCACATAAAAATCACAACCTAGTAAAATCTATTGAATAATTCTTGTTTCAAATTCAGAATAGCGTTGTACTTAATTTATCATTCAAAGTTTTTAACAACTAAATTTTTATTGAAGGGTGAAGTTTAGTATCAAAATGAGTTAGTTTTTTTACTTTCTCCTTACAGTTGACTTGTAATGACATGAAAGCAAGTATTTAAGTCATATACTGATTAATAAAGTGCATTAAAGTAAAGGCAATCCCCTTCGATGACTTTTTCAAACCTACACTTACATTTGTCGTGTAATAAAAAAGCATGGATAAATTACTTTTTACCTTAGTTAAAAACTATTAATATTAGACACGATCTTACTTCTATTTATCATGTATATACAATACACTATAGTAATTAAAACAACTAATTAAAAAAAAAAACTTTAGGGAACGTAGTTTCTACATACTGCCCTGTATACCACACACATAGATGCTTTTATTAATTCGTCCAGACTAACTAAAACTTTCTAACCCTGAAGTGAGCTGCAAGTAAATAAATAAAATAGAATACACAAAAGAAGAAAGAGATCCAAATCATCCATTCAAATTTTTTAAATTATTACAAGCGTGTAGAATGAATATTTTTTCTGCCAAACCTATGCTCAAAAAGTATTTAAAATGGCAAGAACACTAATAGAATGATACAATAATGAACTACCGATAACAATTGTTATATGTTTGCGCGTATGTGCAATTTCAATAAGCAATTTTATTTTTAATAAGCATAAAGGCAGTAAACTTGGCAAAATACTAGACTTTATGGTCAGAATAAGAACTATGCAATTTCTGGGTACATCCGTCAATGAACGTTCTTAAAAACATCCATAACTTATTATCCTTTGTACTTTTACTTACACACTCCTCTTCTCTCTCTTTCTGTTAATATGCATATATTAAGATTATTCTTAAAGTTCTCACTTCTGCGGTGTATCAGACGTAATGCTCTCTGCTAATTTATCATACAATTATATGAAATAATTTGAAAGATTTAATGAAATTTCTTTTTTGTTAGGTTAAATGCATGGTATGAAAAAGGATAGTTAGCTAATAAACATTGCACTTGGGTTATACTTGTCCATATGTAAGCCTAGAATGTTTTGTTATAACGCTGCGTAGTCAGTAAATGATTAAAAATTGGAAATAAACAATTAATAGTTACTGATTTTTTTAAGTTCTTTCTAATCTTAAGGTGTGACATCATCCTACAGTACCGAGCAATTAAAAATCTTTTCATCACTGGAGAATCAATAACTTTTGCAGATAAAAGACTCGTCTTTGGTAGGTCTCAAAATGCATTTTCGTAACTTGTTAAAGTTCTCTAAATCTTGTGGGCATCTTTATTTTTTACTTTAAGTAATATGCCATATGTTAGGTCCACTTTCAATTCTAAGTGTGCTAGATCTACATCGATGAAGTAAATTTCCGTTTTGGGACGGTAGCATAATATTATACCTTAATATAGAATGACTATTGTTTCAAAATTTCATTCCATTTTTTTTTTTAAATCAAGCAACAGTACTAAATATTAAGAAATAACTTTATTGCTAGGGATCAAATAATTGTTGCAAATAAGAAACTAGTCTCAAATTTTATCTGGATCTTAAAATAAAAAGCAAGAAAACCGATAAAGTAAGTGGATCTCAATACTCTGGTAAATCCATATTACTACTTTTATAAGCTCTTAGTGCAAAGGGTTTTTTTAGGTTGTCTAATACCTCGTAAATAATCTTATTTTGATAATAATAGATTATTATCTAAGGGTCTGCAATAAGCTGAATTTGATAAATAACATGACACTTTATTTGTAACAAGTTTTTCAAACGCTGACAGGTATTGAGTCACGGTTGGATTGTTATTATTTACATTCATGCTACGAATCATTGAAAAAAATTATCTAAATGTAATCTGGGCTTAATCTGTAACTGAATAAGTATTGTACATGATTATAAGAAACTAAATTGTTAGCTGAATTATATAAATTAGTCAGTGATACTATAAATCTGAGGAATTTTCCATGACAGACTGACTTTTGAAAACAGGTTTCAAAATTTTTGTTATACGTTACACTCACTGTTTTTCTTTTTCTAAGGTGTCTCATAAATCTGTAAGTTTCTTATACAATACATAAAATTGTCAATTTTTCTTTTAAAGCGGGCATTATTTCTTTGGATATGGGAAACTGGTTAGGATTTTTATTGGACTTGCTTTTAACGGTTAAATAAATAAAAAATTTTATCTATTTTATCGCAAAATGTAGCTGTAGACTGTACACTGGTGAAGTCAGGATCGTTAAAGTATTTTTACAATAAGCATAATAAACTCACAGTGCTGTGACTCAATACTTGGGCGTCCAAAAAACCTTCACCTTTTCATTTTCAAAAAACACATGCCAGGTAGCAATTTGGTTTGCTAAATGAAGTTTTTGTTGGTTTCGCTTGTTGTTTAAATTTTTAACATACTCCTTACTAATTGTTTTTTTAATATCAACAATTGGGTCCTGTAGAGTTAAATAATTTCGGCACACTTTTAAACAGTGACAAGTGTTGAAAAAAATATACACTGGTTAAGAAGTTAGTGAGTGATCAAAAAAGGGTTCACAATTTGTCTTGTCATCGTGCTTAAAATTCACTCCCAACTTTTTCCAAGCAGTTTGATGCGTTGTATCCCCGTCAAAAGTTATAATCATAACATAAATTTGTTGCTTCAAATACTATCAACAAGTCTCTCAGTAAAATAGATTTTTCGACACCAGTAAGGGAATGCAGTAAATAATGGGTGACAGAAACTTTAAAGCCCCCATTGATATTTACCAACACAAATATCAGAGCTTTAAAAACTAGTGGCACCGTATTACTTTGATCTGTTTCTAACAACTAATCTCCCAGATCCATAAGACCTTTTTAAGAGTGAGTAGTCCTGTCCCATTTTTTGTATCGTCTTATACTTACTTCATCGAAAGTTATGTTAAAAACAAGCTTGTGTCCTTCAGCTTCTTCTTTAATAACGATATCTGACACTTGCTAGATCGTATTATGAGATATTCCAGGGGTACAGTCTGAGTTTTTAGACCACTTATTTAACGTTCGAATGGAAGGAAAGCAACGCAAGAAATAATGCCTAACAACTTTGTAGGTTGCCGCAGATTGGAAGTGTAGCCTTTTTGCTGACGTTTTCAGATTGAAAGGAAGAACTAATGTTACTTTTTTATTTTTCATACGACAAATTAATTCTTGCAAGTGCGATGGCAGATCCTACGAAAAAGAAGAAGGCTTATTTTCTGACACTACACAATTTTGATTTAAGTACAATACCTATACAACATTAAGAGTACTAATGACATAGAACTTTTAACACTATATAACGATGTTAAGTTGTTGAAAAGAAAAGAAAAAGTTAAGGGTTTGGCTGGATCTTAATAATAACAAAAAAAAACCATCGTCATGTCATTAAAAAGGTTAATTTATTTTGAACACAGAAAATTCCTCAAAGTATTTCTGGATTCTGACATTGTAATGACAAATACTAATGCTGTTGCATGCATTTACTGAATGTCTATCCTTATTGATTAAAAAAATTTGTAACAACAATAATTGTAAAACTGTATATAAAATTGATATTTTTTTTTTCAGTGTAAAAAGTGTATTAATTATGAATTAACCTTAAAGTACGATGCAGCATTAGTTTTATTTATATTTTTCAGATATTGCACGGCTTTATCCATCCTGCTCATTTTTTTCTTTTGACAAAAAATTTTGTTACGCTCTGCTGCTACTTTGAAATCTTATAGTTTGTTGTACCTTAAAAACTTCCACTAAGCTTCATTAGACGAAAATTGGATCTAGAAATGCAGTCTACTTTTAAGCCATCCATAAATCTTACTTTTTTTGTCTAATTTAGAGTTTGAATGAAACTTTTCCTAAAAATATTTTCATTAATACAGTGATTGTAAAAACTTATAAGTTAAAACAATATTTATTTCTGTACATACCTTTTTTTAGGGTTGCACTTATTTTTTACACCATCACTTTTATTCTCAGATGTTGGCACACAATGGAATATTACACTTTTTATCAAACTTTTAATATTTGCAGTTTTATTAATGTGAGCTTGCAAGCCACTGATCTCACTTATATTAACTTGCTCATTGCTTGCTACTTCTGTTACAGCAGAATGGTGA